GCGGACCTCTGATGTTTATACAGTGTTCTCTGATTGTGCCTATGGCACCTCTGCTCTTCACTGGTTCTATTCTGCATTTTCTTCCATATCGTTCACTTCAGTACGTTGTTATTTTACTGTGTAGATTTGGGACCTGGCCCTCCAGTATTTTCCATGTGTATATTATTTGGTATCTCTCTCGTCTCCTTTCTAGTGAAAACATTTGGAGAGCTTTGAGACGATCCCAATAATTTAGATGCTTTATCGCGTCTATGCGTGCCGTATATGTTCTCTGTATTCCCTCTATTTCAGCAATTCCTGCTCTGAAGGGGGAAGTGAGTACTGAGCAGTACTCAAGACGGGACAACACAAGTGACTTGAAGAGTACAACCATTGTGATGGGATCTCTGGACTTGAAAGTTCTCGTAATCCATCCTATAACTTCTCTGGCTGACGCAATATTTGCTTGGTTATGCTCCCTAAACGTTAGGTCGTCGGACATCATTATTCCCAAATGTTGTACATGCTGCTTTCCTACTATGGGCAGATTTGATTGTGCAGTCTCCTCGTCACTGCGGTGTTCATAGTGCACCGGCTCCTGGGAGATGGTCTAGCTGCTTCTAATTCTACAACAAAGGTTGCTCTCAAGAGTCGTCAAGTTCCTGCTCGAGTTTCAAGGATATTCCAACTCCTGCAAGTTGCTGATACAAACAGCCTCACGGAACAGGTAATCGCCACATAAACCCGACGGCAGGCTGGGCATCGGGAGTAGTCGATATCGAAAATAAATTAGAGTAGATTCATCGAACTCCCCTCTCTTGATGATCGCCTGATGATCCCTGATACAATGTTGACCCTGAGAGCTTCGACTGATGGTGTTGGCTGAGTGGTATGTGGCCTGATCTGCTTGTGGAGGCCCGGGGGGAGGCGGGAGATGTGGTGCAGGGGGTATACCTCCCGCTGTACCTGGGAGGTATACCTCCCAGGTCACCTGGGAGGTATAACGCGCCATAACATGGCGGGCCGAGCCA